CTCTCATGTGAATCTGTGTACAAACTTTTGTTTTTTTTCTTCTTCTTTAATAACAATGTCTGGCCGATTTGCTTGTATGGTTTGATTTGAGTTGATAGAAAAATCCCAGACGATGTTAACAACTATTCCCTTGACTACAGATTCAGCATGATGTTCATACCAGCAGCTGTTTGTGTTAAGTAGGAATGATAGATCTTCCAGTGCAGATATTGATGGTTTATTATTATTATTATTATTATCATCATCATTCGATTTCTGCTATGGACACACTACCTACCAAGTCTGCGGAAAGACCTAAGGCAGGTCGTGGTGTGTTGTTATGGCCACATTTCATGTTAATTTTTTTATTTTTTTTTTTATCTCCGATGAAGTTGCTAGCGTTACATAGACAAAGTTCTCCTTAGTGTGTGTGCTGTACTTAATAAGACAATTTTCTGTATGTCTCTTAAGCTGGGGTTTCAGGATTCTTTCAATGTGTTGTTTTGTTCCATTTTTTATAATTCCAAGTGCACCTATTACCACTGGTATTATTCTTGTTTTCAATTTCCACATTTTTTCTATTTCAATTTCCAGGTCTTTGTATTTTGATAGTTTTTCAAATTCCTTGGTTGCTATGTTACAATCCGCTGGACAAGCCATATCAATTAGTAGGCAAGTTTTTTTCTTTCTGGTTTTTGACAATAATGTCCGGCCTATTTGCTTCAATTTTTCTGTCTGTGTGGATGGTATAATCCCATAGAATGGTGACATCTTCTATTTCTGTAACCGGCGCTGGCCGATGTTCATACCAGTGTTTGCTTACACATTTTCCAAAGTGTTTTATTATTATTATTATTATCATTATTATTATCATTATTATTATTATTATTATTATTATTACTTGCTTGGGTTTCTGTCGTATGTACATTTCCTTCTGGGTCCCAACCAGAGACCTAAGGTCAGAAAAGGTTTCATGACATTTCCCACTGAATATTTTTTGTAAAAAACAAAAAATAAAACAAAGATCACACACATTTTGCATAAAGTTCTTCGCAATGTGTGAGCTGTACTTGTGAGTACAATCTTTTGTATTTCTTTAAGGCATAGGCTACCAAGAATCCCTTCAATGATTCTATCGGAATCTTTTCCTACCAATCCGAGTGCTCCAACTATAACTGGAATTATTTATGTCCTCATATGCCACATTTTTTTTTAGATTTCCACTTCAAGATCCTTGTATTTTGTTTGATAGTTTTTTGAAGATCTTCAAATATACATTACAATCTTCAGGGATTCCCATGTCAATAAGAAAGCAGATTCTGTGTTCGTTGTAAAGTCCCATAAAATTGTTACCGGTTCTATCTCTGTAACAGTGTCTAGGGGATGTTCATACCAGTTTCTTAGAGTTTCCTTCCCTTAAAAGTTGCATATTTTCCAGTGCAGATATTGGCCCACTCTATCATGCCAAGATTTGTATTCAGTGAATGTAAACACTGTGCAACCAAGATGGTCAATTGTTTTTTGGATATTTATCACAGAATTTGCATTTTTAGACTAACATAATTTTTCTGTATGTTTACTTGGTAATTTATGGTTAGGAAGCATTGGTCCTGTGCAGCAAGAATAAAAACTTCGGTTTCAACTATTAACACTGAACTGATGGGTACAGGATTTGTTTAGTACGTACAGAATATTAAACAGGCACAGGATTATTTTGCCATTGTTTCTTCTTCTTCTTCTTCTTCTTCTTCTTATTATTATTATTATTATTATTATTATTATTATTATTATTATTATTATTTCCTTGGATTTCTGGCGTGTACACATTTCTTTCCAGGTCCCACCCAGATACCTAAGGTTAGAAATGGCATCATGATGCTTTCCAATAACAAAAAAAAAACATTTTAAAAAATTAAAAAAATTAAAAATAATATTTTACATAGATAATGCCTTCCGTAAAGTGTGGGCTGTACTTGTGAGAATAATAATAATAATAATAATAATAATAATAACTACAAAATTGGCCTCCAAAGATATTTGGAAACTACAGAAGACTGGATGATGGTATGCGTCAAGGAAAGTAGTAAGCGTCTTTACTCCGTAATGAAAGAAGCCAACAAATTCAAAATGGAGTTTCAAATGGGCGTAGAGATGCAACCAGCACAATACACCAGCTGAAACTGCAAAATACTTAAAAAAAAAGACAGCAAAGACGAATGCAACCGACCAGATACAGAAGCGATAGCAAGATAAACCGCTTCATGGCCAATACTCTGCCCGTACCAAACAAGCTGACGTAGACAAAACCCGTACCCATCAGTGGCTACGTAGTGCAGGGTTAAAAGCGGAAACTGAAGGTTTTATCCTTACTGCGCAGGACCAATGCTTGCTAATTAGGAATTATCAAGCACATATACTAAAATATTGTGTCAGCCCAAAATGCAGATTCTGTGATAATTATCCAGAAACGATTGATCATCATGTATCAGGTTGCACGTTATTGGCACCCACTGAATATAAAACCCGGCATGACAGAGTGGGCCAATATCTGCACTGGAAAATCTGCAACTTCTACGGGAAGAAAACTGAAAGAAACTGGTATGAACACCACCCAGACCCGGTTACGGAGATAGGACCTGTTACAATTCTATGGGACTACACAATACACACTGACAGAACAATCAAGGCCAATCGGCCAGATATTATTAAAGACCACAAACAAAAACGCTGCCTCCGTATTGACATGGCAGTCCCTGCTGACTGCAATGTATCTTTGAAGATATTCAAAAGTTGTCAAAATACAAGGACCTTGAAATAGAAATCTCGAAAATGTGGCATATGGGGAACATCAACAATCCCTGTTGTAGTTGGAGCCCTAGGACTGGTTGGAAAAGATTGCAGTAGACTAATTGAAGGGATTCCTGAAGTCCATGCCTCAAGGAGATACAAAAATTGTTCTGACAAGTACAGCCCACACCTTACGAAGGGCTTTATCTATGTAATTTAATTTTTTTTTTTTTTTTTTTTGTCAGTGGAAAGTGTCATGATGCCACTTCTAACCTTAGGTCCCTGGGCGGGGCCCGGAAAGAAATGTGTAAACGCCAGAAATCAAAGAAAATAAAAATAATAATAATTATTATTATTATTATTATTATTATTATTATTATTATTATTATGTACGGAGTGGAGGATAAAAAGTTCTCAGCCCAAAGCACTTCTCTAAATCTGGCCCAATGAACAAACATAAGTTTAGGAGTAATTCCTTCTTGGTCAGACCGAAGACGTTTTAGTACCCTATCGTACCACGAATATCTGGGGATTTTCGCATGAGATCGAGTGAGAGCAGATTTACACAATATTCTGGCATTTATCTCAGTGCTTGTACCGATTTTAGTAACACTATTATCGGAAAGGGCTTCATTTTTTGCTCTGATTTTCAATTGTTTCAACCTCTTTGTAAGTTTACCTCGAGATTTTCCAAGTGCGGCGTTAATGCTGGGTAATGGCGCTACAGAGTCGCAAACAAAATCCACACCAAATAACAGAAACCATATCACTTGAGGACTTTCAACGGCAGCAACAACTAAAATGGATAGCATATGGCACTAGAAGAGAAAATAATGACATAATCTAGATGCTGACATTCCACACGCCTTTAAACAAAAGCTTAAAAAGGAAACCCCCATCAATACAGTAAACAAGAGAAACCTATTTTCCCCTAGAATAATTTTAATAGAAAGATTCTATAAATTTCAACTCAAAGTACCACTGACTGCTCGATCTATGAATGCTGAATGTTTCCATATAAAGAAACGATTAATACCATTAGAGATGAATAGAATAGATACTACATTTGTGATTTTCCCGCTCCATTCCCCCCTCTACGGATGTGACACAAGGTTGGTTTCGAGTGAGGAGCTCAAGCGCGTGCACCTGTGCTAAGGGCAAAAATTGTCCGATCCCCGCAACCAACGTCGCACTGATATTGATATTCCACCGACTTCCTTCTTTGGTGCAATGCGGGAGGTGCTGTCGCACGATTGGAATCCCCAAGACCAAGCATTTCTCATTTATTTGTTGTGTTATGCCCGAAACATAATTGAAAAACAAAATGTAGCTTGTCCACCGAAAGGCAGTTGACAGATATTAAGCTTAGTATTTACTTGCCGTCCTACGCAAGAAGCATGTGACACAATGTGGAGAGGTCGGATGAGGTATTACTACCTATTCCAACTCTTTAGTGCAATGAGGGAGGTACTGCTGCGAGCAACTGTTCCCCGAGATCGGGCACCTTTCGATAATATTTTCAGTTGCGTTCTGCAATCTGCAATCTGACAGAGGAGCAATTGAGAAATAACATTTTGTTTGTCCACTCGGGGACAGATACTACACTTTGATCGCAGCCAAGGAGTGAATAGAAACGTAACTCGTGTAACATAAATGCCGTATTTTTCCTTACTTAAGTAAACGGATAATATTAGCGTTACTATCACCATATTTAATACACTTTTCACATAGTAGCCGCTGATGTCTGATGCTGAGCACTACATAGCAACAAGTCTCTTTAATAATTCAGCAGTTCGAGGGTTCACTGTTTTCCCATAAATGTGACACTAACAGGTGCTACCATCCTGGGTCAAGATGGACCTGTGAACAACAGCATTTAAAAGGTAATTTCACACTCCTCAAAACCTCCCAATCAGAGGCCTTGCTACCAGATGTAGTTTATCGTCATACCCAGGACAATATTCAAGCTGCCTTCAGTAGGCTAAATAGTTTCGATTCTCCTTTAAATTTTTAGTTCTTTCTATTTTTCCCGTGGTTTTTCGGGGTCGTTCCCAGCGCTTCGACTAAAATAGGCGCAATTATCGACTTTTTTATCGCCTCTCATAATTTATGTCTCTTCTCCTTTGAGCGTCACTCTTTTACTCTGATCATTAAACATCGAGAATGATTTTTTTATGCCATATTTTAATTAATTACTAAATTTTAAGTAGCCTCTACGTATGAAGAATTACAAGTTATTGGTCATGGTTGAGTAAAATAACCATTTGGAGGTTTGGTTTCTGTTGTAAATAAAGTGTCTTTGATGTAAGAGGAGGGAACTTCAAAGTGGAGGCTAAGCACTGAAAAGGTTCCACTGGCGTTTGATAAATAGAGAGAAGAATTGGTCGGTCGGCCATTGGTAAATGTTTAAACGAAGAGGGAAATGTGGTGATATGTTTACACACGCATACACACGCACAAAGAAAGAAAGAAAGAAAGAAAGAAAGAAAGAAAGGAAGAAAAGAAAGAAGGAAAGAAAGAAAGTGAGGAAGATGAAGAAAGAAGGAAAGAAAGAAAGTGAGGAAGATGAAGAAAGAAGGAAAGAAAGAAAGTGAGGAAGATGAAGAAAGAAGGAAAGTAACAGAAAAATAGAAATAAGGAAAAAAGATCGAGCAGAGAGAGAGAGTGATGAACAAAATAGATGGAGACAAGAAGGAGCAAAAGAGAGGAAGATATAGAAAGAAAAGTAAAGAAAAGAAGAGAATGCGAGGCGAAAAGAAGAATGGGAGAAAAGAGTAGTTGGCAGAGAAAGAGAAAGGAATAAAAGGAGAAAGACAGAAAGAGAAAGAGATGGAAACATCGGAGAAAGAAAGAAAGAAGAGTAGAAATAGATAAAGTGAAAGATATGTGTAGAAAGAAAGAAAGAAAGAAAGAAAGAAAGAAAGAAAGAAAGAAAGAAACTAAAAGAAAGGAAAAGAAAAGACAGACAGAGAAAGAGAAGGGAAGAAAAGAGAGAGGCATGAAAAGAGAATGATAAATGAAAAAAGGCAGGGAAAAACAAGAGAAGGTGGGGAAAAAGACAGGAAGCAAAGAGCTAAGCAGGGAAAGGGTAGGAGAAAGAGAACGGAAGAAAAGTGAGTGACAGAGAAAGAGATAAGGAAAAATAGATAGAGAGTAAGAAAAGAGAAGGATACAGAGAAAGATAAGGGAAAAATAGTAAAAGACAGAGAGAGAGAGAGAGAGAGTCACAAAAGAACGATACAGGGAGAAATTGCACTAAAAAAACGAAAACATAGAAACGATAAAAAAGATAAAGAAAATAAGAAAGAGAGAAAGAGAAGACAAGTAAAATAGAGAATCAGAGAAAAGGAAAGAAGGAAGAGAAAAAAGAAAAGGCAATAAGGAAGAAAAGCAGAATGGAGGAAAGAAAGAAAGAAGATTTAAAAGTTGAAAACGGACACCATGAATGAAAATGAGATTTATTTGAAACACGCACACACTCACACGCTCGCACGCACACACACACACACACACACACACACACACACACACATATATACATATATATATATATATATATATATATATATATATATAGCTGTATATATAGCTGTAGGTATGCTATATTCATCGGTAAAAGTGCTCAATATTGGGTCATGTGTCTGATGTTTGCATTCAAGCATGAAACAGAGTCACCGCTCGGTGTTGAACTCACGTACACTTTTATATTTTCCTCTGTCCACACACACCACACACACACACACACACACACACATATATATATATATATATATATATATATATATATATATATATATATATATATATATATAAATAATAATTATATAATTAAATTGGAATGAAAAGATTAATTCCTAAAATAAATTTAAGTCGCATTGTGGATGAGTAAAAATTAATTGATAAAAATAAAACTCAATTATTTTCCATTTGTACAGATGGCAATATTCTTGTCTGCAGTAGTGGACTGGGTCTAAAAATATAGGTTGCCAGGAGAATAAAGCCCACCACCCTAACTACAATTCTATCCTTTAATTTTCATAAGAATATTTTTTTTACAAAAATACATATGGGAAAAAGGGTACAATTAAATGTTTTGTGAAAAAATGTGTCTACAAAATACTGTACATATTTTTGGTTGTAGATATCAATTGTAAATACAGAATGTTATAATTGATGTTTTTTTTTTAAATTTTAAATAATTGGTTAATATTTTTAAATAGTTTTCTGCACAATAGATGGTTCAAGAGCAGAATAAAGCGTTGCACCCAGTCCACTATATTAAGAGCAATCATTTGGATTCATTAGAAGAATCTGCCAATAATTACTTCACTATTCAATTCATGTAACAATTCCTTTTCAATGGATAGCAACCTGTATGATTCCAAATTCTCCTGAGGCACCGAATTTCTTCATTTTGTCTTTATGATCTTTATCTTAAAAATGTCCTTTTATATTGAAATTGTGTAAATGGTAGTGTTGGTTATTATTAAAACAGTTGTCTGTGTTTCTTTCTTTATTGAATTTTTATTTAATATAAAAGACCCAGTTCATTAGGGGTTCACTTATCATCGGTCAAGCTGACATCCTAGCCAGTCTGCCATTGCTTGTCTGGATCCTGTTGAGCGAAACATTACGAAATATTATATAAATTATTGCCATTATTGTTGTTCTCGATATCTAGTAAGCACATTATTGACAAATTCTTTTCAACTTGAAAATAATCAAGATGTCAACTGCTTCAAATAAAAAGTTAAGAAGGAAACCAACATAAATGCTGGAAAGAGTTTGTGTAATTTACTTTCCCGAAAAAATTGTTTTAATGAAAGGCAAAAATTGTGTTAATGGAAGTTTTTATAAATTTAGACCGAAAGTAGTACAGGCCTCTCAGTTAGTCACCAGCAAATGTTTCCTTATAAGGAAACGGCTTACCATTTGCGATAAGGAGAAGAGAAACTATTTTTTGATCCTATTCTGATGAACGAGGATGGAAGAAAAGTGTCACTGGAGTAGCACTGACTATTCGGTCAATGAATGGTCGTTTGCTTATACGGAAACGGCTAATATTACCACTGACATAGATTTTTTTATTAATAATAATAATACAGTAACAATGGCAAGATAAACTGCTTCACAGCCAATACTCTGCCCGTACCAAACAAGCTGATGTAGACAAACCCCGTACCCCTCAGTGGTTACGTAGTGCAGGGTTAAAAGCTGAAACTGAAGGTTTTATCCTTGCTACATAGGACCAATGCTTGTTAAGTAGAAATTATCAAGCACACATACTAAAATATTGTCTTAACCCAAAGTGCAGATAAATACCATGAAACAATTGACCATCTTGTATCAGGTTGCACGGTATCGGCACCCACTGAATATAAAACACGGCATGACAGAGTGGGCCAATATCTGCACTGGAAAATCTGCAACTTCTACGGAAAGGAAACTGAAAGAAATTGGTATGAACACCACCCAGAGCCAGTTACAGAGATAGGACCTGTTACAATTTTATGGGACGACACAATACACACAGACAGAACAATCAAAGCTAACCGTCCAGACATTGTTATTAGAGACCGCAAACAAAAAATGTGCCTCCTTATTGATATGGCAGTCCCAGCAGACTGCAATATATTTTTGAAGACATCAAAAAGCTATCAAAACACAAAGCCCTTGAAATCGAAATCTCAAAATGTGACACATAGGAACATCAACAATCCCTGTTGTAGTTGGAGCCCTAGAATTGGTTAGGAAAAGATTCCAGTAGACTAATTGAAGGGATTCCTGGAAGCCCATGCCTTAAAGAAATACAAAAAAATTGTTCTCACGAATATAGCCCACACCTCATGAAGGGCTTTATTTATGTAAAATATGTTATTTTTTTAATTGGTTAGTGGAAAATGTCATGATGCCATTTCTAACCTTAGGTCTCTGGGCGGGATCCGGAAAGAAATGTGTACACACAAGAAATCAAAGGAAATCATATATTTTGTTAAATAAACTTACATAGAAAGTCTTGGGGCGGTTTTGCGAACGAAAATCGGTTTCCAGGTTTGTTCCAAGTTATCAGATAATCGATGAAGCCTATAAGAACGACAAAGTTCAACTCTGAAACGGAGAAGGATGCCTGGTCCGTCTGTGTGGTTCTAGGTCGCCTTGTCGGTTGCTTCTGTTGCCCACTGACGAGAGTTGAGACTACAAAAGACGCGTGTAAGGGTCATTGTATCTTTTTCTGTAACCCCCATTGCAAACTAGGGAACGAAACAGGAAGGCTTAGAAGATTAACATGCGGTCAGTGCGAGTATTAACCTTATTGAAATATAATCTCCTTCTCTTAACTAATTACAGATGCTAGAGAATTTTAACTAGTGATAAACACAAGAGGATTAACACTAAACTATCGCTTTATCCTTATTCAGCTAGTTTGTTTTTTGGGGGGTTTTTTTTTGGGGGGTTGATGTGGGGTTTTTTTTGTTGTGTTTTTTTTTTTGTCTTTTGCAGTATCACTCCAAATTTTTCCCAATCGCAAATGACCCCCTAGCGGAGCTGTCCTGGGGCCCCATATACAATTCTCTTTAGCATTATGTTCAGAAGAGTGGGATAAAGTAGACAACATGTGCAAAAACTGCAACCTGTCTCAACTGGAAATGTCCCCGGACCGACACCATGGCCATATTGCAGTCAAAGAGTTCCTATTCTTAAACGATGAGATTCTAATCGATCACACGGTAACGGCTCTTTGGCATAGATAGATAGATAGATAGATAGATAGATAGATAGATAGATAGATAGATAGATAGATAGATAGATAGATATTTTTCTACTGTTACACCTACGATAACGCTGTGCATTTTTGGTCCTAGCTTCTGACAGTGTAGATGGTCAAGAAACCAACATTTTCAGCAACATATCCTTTCCAAGAATCTAAAAACGGCGCTTTTCGTAGTTTACAGCGGTACTGCGGACGTGTCAAATATAATTTGCAAAGTTTCTTTTTGAAGCCTTTTTAGATGTACAATGAACAGCCGTTGAGTCGACCCGTTGGAATTAATAACGATTAAACAGTGACATTACGTTGACAATAATCAGGTTTATGTGACGGACAAGGAAAATAGTCAACGGATTCAAAATATGCCAATCAAACGTTGAAATTCCTTTCTACTTGCTTTTTTTTTATATTGTTCACCAAATACAAGGTAGAGGGTTACTAAATGGTGTTGCAGTAAAGGCGTAGATGAAGAGAGCAAAAGGCACATATTATGAGGACATGTACGATAGATAACGGTTAACCTTAGACTTAAAGAGGTTAAGATTGCAGTAATCGGGAAAGCATCCTCTTGGGAGTCCTCTCCTCAGTGCAACAGGAAGACATTGCAAAATCTTCTTCTTACCAATGGGATATGAAGGGATGAATCGATTCTGTGTACGTGGACTGGCGGGTCTTAACTGTGAAGGTCTGAACTGGGAGAAACAAGGAATATACTTCGCCGGAGCATGTGGCTTGAAAGTAGCAAGAGACTAGCAACGTTTAGTCTGTGGGAAAGGAGTTGTAGGCTGGAAAACAAGGCCAAGGCTGTTCAAACGGTCTTTGTCGGGGCTGGTTGGCATCTCCAGCGCAGCCTGATGGCGTTTACAGAAGCCAAAATACAAATAAGTATTTACTTATTGCTGTAAGTAGCAATTCGCTACATAAACGTAAAGAAAATATTCCGTTCTTTTAAACAAATTGAAGTATCCAATGAAAAGGGATTATGATACAACAGCGTGGAAATTGACCGAACAAACGAAATTGGCCAACTATTAAGCGTAATAAGGTCGAGTCTTTTTCCAATGGGATGTTGCATGAATGGAGGGGCTTGAAGAGTTTTCAGCTCTAATGTCCTTTCGAAGAAGCAAACGCTTCATTCGAACTTGTGCTGCTCGCAATATGACGAACTAACGTTAAGAGTCGATGAAAAGCGACCGTAATTAATTAACAACAAGAAAAAAAAAAGCTTTATATTTCATCAAAGTTACCGCTAACCTGAACTGAACCAAGCAAATTTTTATCAACTTCGTTGACAAGTTTTCACTCATCTGCCGTATTCAGAATACTCTTAGATATTATTTATTCCGATCTTTACAGAATATTTTAAAGAAAAGAAATTCTCCGAAAGAGTGAAAAAGACACCTAAAGCGGTTCTATGATCAAAAAGGCAAAAATGTTTATATTGTTGAAAAATTTTATTGGGGTTGGGTGGAGTACCATTATCTAGTACACACGCACATATATATATGTAAAAATTTTCAGAATTAATTTGCAGAAAAATACAATATGTATAAAGAAAAAAGACAATAGGAAAACGTAATATTAAATATAAAATTAAATATAGATTCGGTTCAATAAGAGCAAATAACTTCCCTTTAATTATATAATTTAAAAACTTAAAGTATGAATATTCCGCACTCAAATATATAATTTTTTTCAATTTTCTTTTTACAAACGCTTATATATATATATATATATATATATATATATATATATATATATATATATATATATATATATATATATATATATATACTTCGGATCATCAATCGAATTCAATCTTTCCCATTTTATCAATATATTTGCACACACACACATATATATATATATATATATATATATATATATATCCTGCATATTTTATATGCCAAATATAAAAATTCAGAGCTTTGAGTAAGTCCCCAGTGAGGCCCCATCTCACTAGTTAAGTCTACTAAATTAGCAACGGTAACCTTTGCACTATACCAAGGATTATGCTGCCAGGCTTAAGAAATAACATATAAAACCTAAATAATATGGTTGTTAAGCCCAACAGAAGTCTATAGACATTAAACTATCCATCAGAATGGTGTAGGGAATGAAATTATTCAGGCGCCCATATCTCAGCACTCACGAAATCCCGTGTTGTGCTCCGAAATAACCAACACGCGTTATGACAAAGTGGTCCTGTAAACTTATTCTAAGTGTGTCTGTTACTCAATATATTGGCTTTCTGTCACAAGACGACACCTGTTGTGTGATTTTAAGGGCACTAGAAAATATATCAATGCATAGGTTTCTGAGCAGGCAAGCACACACAGACACACGTACTCATACACACACAAACACACGAGCGCGCGCGCATTCACGCACTGACACACACATATATATAGTGGATTTTGTCAGGATTGATTATGGGAGTATCAGTTTTCAATTTCTACTGCCTCTTCTTTATCAGATGGAATTTCAGTTCAACTGTCAGATTCTGTTTTCCGTTCAAATAACCGTTGTACAGAAACATACACAAATGCACACACTCTATATATATATATATATATATATATATATATATATATATATATATATATATATATATATAAGAGTAAACGAATGACACTATGGAAACGTAACTTATTATTGACGCGTTTCGTTCCGAAAAAAATCTTATTCAGGCAAATAACTTATTTAGGTTTTTGCTTTCCAACTTATTATTCATTTATGAAGAAATATACTCTTAAGGTGTGCTATATTTATGGGATAAAGTGCTCAATATCAGAGATAGAGCGTGTGTAAATATATAAGTGAACATTGAAGTCAACACTTAGAGGATACTTAGATTTTCATGCTAGATGCAATCGTCAGGCATGACGATTGCATCTAGCATGAAACAGCCTCTCGCCTCTAAGTGTTGACTTCACTGTTCACACTTTTATATATATATATATATATATATATATATATATATATATATATATATATATATATATATACACTAGCGTCCAAAACTAAGGGACAAAATTTGAAAACCTAATATTTGTTAGAAATAACAACTGTGAAAAAGCTGAAATTTTGACAACTGGTAGTCATTATCATCCATAATAACATACTAACATTTGAATCATTTGCAAAGGATAGAAAAGAATTATAACAATTATTTATTTATTTTCAAAAATAGGATCGTCCAAAAATAAGGGACAAAATTGAGAAAAACAGTGTAAACAGTATGCTATATTCAATTTTTTTTATTTCCTCTAAAGAATAAGTCTTACTTTGTCATTTGTAAACGTTGCAACAGCCGGCACCATGGCGAAACGCCAAAAACTTGATTACTCTGTGAGACAAGCTATTGTGAAGCTACACAAGGAAAAGCACACCATTAGAGAGATTTCAGAGAAAGTGAAACGTTCCAAGAATGTTGTAGGCAGGGTTGTTAAATCCTACAATGGTACTGGCAAAATAGTTAGTGCTTTTAAAACCGGCAGACCCCGCAAAACTTCGGCAAGAGAAGATCGAATAATGCAGGACCGTTTCAAGTCTTGCACAGAAATTACAAGGGTTATGAATAGTACCTCATGTGTTAATGTGTCAAGACAGACTGTTTGTAGACGACTACAAGAAATAGGGCTGTTTAATCGAACCCCAGGGAAGAAACCACTTGTTAGTTCGAAGAATAAGAAGAAGAGATTAGAGTTTGTAAACAGGTATGTAATTTGGACATATGAAAATTGGGCAAAAGTATTTTTCAGTGATGAAAGCAAGTTTAATTTATTTGGAAATGATGGAAAAAACAATGTAAAGAGACGTATTGGTGAAAGATTAAGTGCAAAATGTACTAAGAAAACTGTCAAGTTTGGGTCGGAAGCGTCATGGTATTTGGAATGTTTTCTAGCCAAGGTACAACGCCTCTTGTCCGGTTACAAACTCGTGTAAACGCGCAGATCTATAAAAACATTGTTCAAGATCATGTTGTGCCAATCATACAGAATTCATGTTTCGATAGGCCTACCTTTATGCAAGATAATGCCCCATGTCACAAGGCAAAGGTGGTAATGAGTTACCTTAGCGAGCAAGATTTGGAAATTATGGATTGGCCACCGCAAAGTCCTGACTTAAATCCAATAGAAAATCTTTGGAAGTCCTTAGGAGTGAAAGTTATGGAAAGAAATCCCACTAACACGGAGGATTTGTGGGTGAAGCTTCAAGAAGAATGGTCTAAAATTAGTATCGAGGATTGTCAAGAACTGATTCGTTCTTGTAGTCGAAGATGTGCAGCTGTCATTGAGAGCAAGGGCTCATTTACTAAATATTGATTGTACATGTGTTTTTATTGTTTTTTTGCCGTTTACATTGTTTTTCTCAATTTTGTCCCTTACTTTTGGACGTTCCAAATTTGAAAATAAATAAATAATTGTTATAATTCTTTTTCTATCCTTTGCAAATGATTCAAATGTTAGTATGTTATTATGGATGATAACGACTACCAGTTGTCAAAATTTCAGCTTTTCACAGTTGTTATTTCTAACAAATATTAGGTTTTCAAATTTTGTCCCTTAGTTTTGGACGCTACTGTATATATCACACACACACATACACATCTCTCTCTGTTGGTATAATTGGTAGAGGAGTGCTCCTCTGTTCTTATGTTAATTGATTTTCTATCCTTTCTGTAAACTCTTTCTACTATTGTTGTTTTCTTATATAAAAGACATCAATATTTTTACCCATTGTTGTTCGACTTCTGCAGATATTATTTCCTTGTTTGCCACATTCTAATCTTCCTGTCGCCCACCCTCACAGCCGTGCCTACATCCCCAATCGACCGTGAACGTATGGACAACACCCCGCTTACTGGATCTAAAAACTAACACAACGTGGGCAGCAGGCGGAACTTGGCCAGTGACCGGTCGAACAATCTACGGGTACTCAGGGAGCGTGCGGCCAGCTACCCCTGAGTTCGGTTCAGACCGAGTGGGCGCCTCAACCCAAAGAGGAAGACGCCGGAGGTTGAGGGACGAGTGGTAGATATAAATATATATATATATATATATATATATATATATATAT